ACCCTAAAAATTCAAGATGAAAACAATACACGTAATAAATACCCAGTTTAAAAAAAAACTATTGCATTTATGTACTAGTTTTGGATTGAAATCCTACTTGACGAATTGTATTTCTCACTTGAACTTCATGACTTCAATACTGAACGGGAGTTCTTTCTAAACTTCGTACATGCACGTTGTTTTGGTAGTTCAATGCATGATTCTAATGAGCTAGTGCTTACTATTTAGATAATTGCATACTAATAAACTATTTCAGCATATTTGGCCAAATGTCGTAGTCCAACAACAACAATAATAATTATAATAATAGCTGTGAGATACACTTTTACATAGAAAATACTGTCGTATGTCTTGATATTCGTGTACGAATACTACATCAAACTTTGAGTATTTTTTTGCCTATTAAGAAAACATATAATCGATGTAATTTGGTTTATTTAATACAAAACTATAAGAACTCAAATAACGTTTGCGAAAAATTTAGAACGGCAAGCTCAAACCAAAGCGAATAATTTGTTTCGTGGCGGTTTAGTAGTAGTAGTATTGGGCGCGGTGCGGTGATTTGGAGAGATGCACGTAATATTTATTACGATATAAATTGATTTTTATGGCATTTGTTTATTACATGTCGAATTGATCACAGGGATGCTAGTTCTTGGATGATTAAACTACATTAACGTTCTTTATGAATTTCCCTTTGAAGATTGAACGTGTACAGAACCCAAGATTATATCGACAATATGCGATCCTTAAACAAAACATGGATGCTAAGAATCCTGCGGGAACAATTAATGAAAAAATTTTATATCATGGTACCAGTGGTGACAGTGTTGTTAAAATTAATCATGGAGGTTTTAACAGAAGTTTCTGTGGTAAAAATGGCGAGTTGTGTTCAAATATAGTAGCTATTTTGACAAATATACAGCAGGATTGTTGACATTCCCACTGTATATATGTCATTCGTGTTTGTCCTGACAAATGTCATTATGATTGCTTTCACATTTTCTAGCATAGACTTACATAAATAATAGTTACTCATATGATAGAGTGAATATGTGTGTATACATTTTTATACCTTACATTTTTTATAGACAAACACATCTGTTTTAATATGTGGTCATCGTGTAAGGTTATTTGAACACATTTTACCCTGGCGTTAGCGACGCAATTGTCTTGCCCATTTATGCTTTTACTAACCGTCCTTGTATTCTGCTTACAGCCACTATGTATGGTGCTGGGAGCTATTTTGCTCTAAAATCCGAGTACTCTGCAAGGGACACATACTCACCAGTAGATCCCAGCGGTCAAAAGCACGTCTACCAGTGTAAAGTGTTAACTGGTGTATTCACTGTTGGTTGCCAAGGTCTTCTTGTACCACCTTCTAGGAGTCCAAACGACCCAACCGATTGTTATGACAGTGTTGTAAATGATGTTAAAAATCCTAAAATTTTTGTTGTTCTTAATGATGCAATGGCCTATCCCGAGTACCATATAACTTTTAATTAATTATTTGTCAACTTAAAGAAGTGATTATGTTTATTCAAAATATATTTGCATATGATTTTAGATTGAAGAGGCACTTCAATATACAGCTTCATATACACAAGTAAAATATTCTATATGTTATCGGGACAGCTGATTAATGTGTGTATAATTTATCTCACATTGATTATTGTTAAATATCCCATTCCCAAACCATAGATATTTGTATATGTTTTACTTTTGCCTTCATATTAGTGATTTCTCAATAATGACTTTGTATACACATTCGTCTGATTTGGAAACTTAAGATGAAATAGTTGCAGAACCAATTTGCATATGTACTTGATACACTTCGATATGCATTGTTATATCATAATATTCTCCTAATTACTTTAAGTTCGTCAAGCAATGAACTTTTTTCCAACATTAACCAATTTCAGACATGTTCAATTTTAGATGTTTTTAAAATCATCTACCTAACAGTACAAATTTTGGAGTGTTAATAATATTGCATTTAGTTGTAATCAGCTACAAATATTGTGTTGTTTAACCCCAACTATATATATAGGCAAATTGACACAAGCACAAGTATTCTGAGATGATACAGGGCGTTTTTAATTCGAGGGTGCCAAATTCAAATTCGACTGAGTGAAATAC